TTGTTCATGGTTCTTATACCCAAAGAGTTTTAATAATGTGATTATTTTCTTTATACTTTTTTCACATTAACTGTGTAAACCTGATTAGTATACAAATCTGATCATTTCATTCTCTTACTACTTTCTGTCAATTATGACTCATGTCAACTTTATGTGTATCAGAGCAGAACTGTACTATATAGGGTTTTTAATAGATGCTATCTTTCAGAAGTAGATCTACAGGCCTCTCTTCCAAGGTGCCTTGGAGTGAACACAGCCAACTAACCTGTGGGTTAGCAGCTGGCATTTCACCACGTGCACCACTCAGAGCAACCTACTCTCTTCTCCAAAAAACTCACTGCCATTGAGTCAATTCCAACTCACAGTACCCCTATAGGGCAGGGTAGAGCTGCCTCTCTGGGTCTTGGGGAGTTTAAATCTTTATAGGAGTAGACAGCCAAATCTTTCTCCTGAGGAGCAGCTGATGACTTTGAATCACTAACGTTGTGGTTTAGCATGTCAGGGCATACTCCACTCTGTTCTTCTTAGCATCCATTATTCCTAGAGGACAAAGCTCCAAAATGCTCAGGAGGCTCAGCTGACTTCCCAAGCTACCCTCTAGTCTCTCTGCCCACACACAAACTTGACACTTAAGCTGTGGATTCTGGATCTTTTGATCCTCTGCCTCTGTCATACAGCTCTCCCGCCTACATTGAACGCTCTTCTCTTCTCTCGCATTCTCTAGCCTCAACAACTCCTACTCACCCTTCAAGGACAGTTTCAAATGTCATGTCTCCTAGACCCTACTGAGGCCACATTTGTCACACTGTGGTATAATTAAGTGAGAAGCAGCAGAAATGCTAATAACGCTCACTCTGAAGTCAGATTGCCTGAATTCAAGTCAAATCTTTGACTTGTTAGTTCTGTGTCTCCGGGACTATTATTTAACCTAACTCTGCCTCCGTCTCATGTGTCAAAGATAACATTCTCTTCAGCGTGTCTCCGTGAGGATTAGTGAAATGATCCTTACAAACGGGGATGTGGGGTGCAAGGGGTGGTAGGGTATCACAGTATCAGGTACATACTGAGAGCTCAGGGTGTGAAACTTACTATAGTCGTTACATGTCCTCCTCTTCCCTCAAACGGTGCACATCTCAGAGGAAGGATTTTCTCATTCATCTTTGAACTCTTCACCCCATGTGTGAGGGGTCACTATGAGCTAGGACAGCAGTGAAAATCCCATGCTTAATTAAGTATATGGTAATTGCTGCATATGTGTTTGGGGAGTGACTGAGTAATCTGCCACAGCTCCTTGCCATCCTCTTGCTATACATACTTTTGGGGCAAAATAAGGAAGAAGTGGGTGGGTAGAGAGAAGGAAGCGAATGAAGGAAGAGCAGAAAAATATTAACAAAAGACCAAAAGGAAGAAAAGAAGGAGAAACAGGAGGAGGAAGAACAGCAGTGAATTGCCATGAGTCATAAAGGCATTCGACTCTTGTGTGCACAGCGGAGAGGCATTAATCACAGCGTCGCAGTCTTTGATGGCCTTTCTGCTAACTTGTTTGGCTCTTGAACTGGATGCAAAGTGCAACATTCCATTCTGGCCTTTGGGAAAGTGGACTTGTGTAAATGAGACTCTCCCAAGAGCCACCTCAGATGAAGGACCACTCTGGGTGACGAGTCTACAGAGTAACCACTCAGGAAGTCCCACTACCTCTAGGTGGGAGGATGGGTACATGTCATGCCCGCACAGGGCATCATCGCACACTCAGATTTCCCAGGATAGATGCAGTCCCAGATGTGTGGAACATTTGCAAGCGCCTTTGCAGTTCAAGTGTCTTGGCAAGACCTATTTTACTGACTCCAGATATACTGGCTTCCACTTCTGCTCAACAGTCAGTGATAAATCCCTGAGAACTCATTACTAGGTTCTAGCATGATTAAAAGTACAGAAAGCCTTTGGTTCGCTGAGTAGGGAGGCTACATACATTTTTAACTGATTATTAAGAAATAAATGCCAACCTTTGCAAGAAAAAAATAGTTGGTTGTGTTGTTTTGTTTTGTTTTCCTCCCTAAACTCTGTCTCTGACAGAATACTGAGGAGGCTTTCAAAGATTTCACCTCTGCAAGGATCTGGTAGGCTCTTCCGGGCCCACAAGCGCCAATTCCCTGCAGCTGTTTTCAAGGTCAAGTCACTCGTCATAGGAGGGTCCAAGTCTCTAAGTAGGGGGTCATGGTCCTTATGAATCAAAACCCACACAAAGAGCACGTGCCTTCCTAGTGGTGGGCAGCACCACTAGCTTGAAGACTTTTGCTAAGCCATGGATGCAACGATTTGGAAGTAGTCGGGCATGAGTTCGAATTCTAACTCTCCATGATGTATTAGCTCTGTAGCCTGAGGCAAATTCTGATAATCCTCATTTGGAAATATGTCCTAAAATGGGAATAACAATACCATTTGTTCCTGAGGGCAGTGGTGAAGATTAAACAGATAATGCACATGAAAGACTCAACAAAGCCCTTAATACAAAAAATAAACAGTTAACATGAAGCCCATGCTGACACACAGTGGCCCCCTGTGTGTCACAATAGAACTGTCCTCCATACAGTTTTCAGGGCAATTCTTCAGAAGTAGTTACCAAGCCTTCCTTCCAAAGTACCTCTGGGTGAACCCAAACCATTAACCTTTCAGTTAACAGCCAAGCACATTAAATTATTTCTACTACCCAGGGATTTCCTTGGAGTACTGATACGTAAATCATATCTATTTTTAATATTAGTGCCAATAGTGTGTTATGATCCACATAGTCGAATGCCTTTGTGTAATCAATAAAACACAAGTAAACAATATCCTGGCATTCTGTGCCTTCAGCTAAGATCCATCAATGTCAGCAATGACATCTCTCATTCCACCTTCTCTCCTCAATCTGACTTGAATTTCTGACAGCTCCCTCTTGATGCACAGTTGCAACCATTAAAAATTATTTTCAGCAAAATTTTACTTGCATGTGAAATTAGTGATATCGTGCAATAATTTCCACATTCTCTTGGGTCACCTTTCTCTGTAATGGTCACAAACATGAATCTCTTTCAATCAATTGGACAGATAGCTGTCTTCTAAATTTGACTCTTTGGATCACAATGAACTATGAATAACATTGCAAAGAATAGGAATTCCAGAACACAACAGACAAGGGGATATTGAATAGATTAAAATAGGAAAGATTTGTGTCAAACACGTAGCCTTTCACCATATTTGTTCAATCTGTATGTTGAGCAAATAATCAAGAAGAGGGCTACATGCAGAAGAAAACAGAATGAAGATCAGAGGAAAGCGCATTAACAACCTTCCAAATACAGACAAACATGCCTTGCAGCTGAAAGGCAAAGGCACCTGAAGCACTTACTGATGAAGATCAAAGACTATAGTCTTCAGTATGTGTTACAACTCAACATAAGGAAAATAAGAATCCTCACAACTGGACCACCAAATCACATCATGATAAATGGAGAAAGGATAATGATGTCAAAGATTTCATTTTGCTTGGATTCTCAATCAATGCTCATGCAAGCAGCAATTTAGATATAAAACAATATATTGCATTGGGAAAAAGTGCTGCGAAAGCCCTTATTAAACCAATAAAGAACAAAGATGTCAGTCTGAGGACTAAGGGGTGTCTGACACAAGCCAGGGTATTTTCAAGCACTTCAAACGCATATGAAATTTGGATAATGAAGAAGGAAGACCAAAGAAGGAATGTTGCATTTGAATTGTGGTGCTGGCAAAGAATACTGAAGGTCCATGGTATGGACTGCCAGAAAAACAAACACGTCTGTCTTGGAAGAAGTGCAGTCAGAATGCTCCTTAGAAGCACAGAGGGTGCTCATGTGTTTGGGGCATGTTATCAACAGGGACCAGGCCCTGAAAAAGGACATCATGCTTGGAAAAGTAGAGGGTCAATAAAAAAGGCAAAGTGCCTCAAGGACACGGATGGACAAGGTGGTTGCCACCAGGAGCCCAAGCACAATCACCTTTGGGAGGATGGCACAGGACTGGGGAGGGTTTCGTGCTGGTGTAATATCAGATTGCTATGCCCCAGAACTGACTTGACAGCATCTAATGACATTATTATTATCCTCGTCATTAAGGAGCTATTTTCTCTGCTACTAGATTTTTTTCTTTAGTGTTTCCACTGAGAGAGAAAACCACAGCTGAGGCTAGGGAGTACGAATCTTAAACTATAATAATTTCTAAACTTTAGGAGCATTTCCACTACTATCTATCAGTTTTTCACTGGCCAATTTATTTCAAAAGTAGGTCACCAGCTTCTCCTTCCTAGTGTGCGTCGGTCTGTTAACTCCACTAACACCAGTTCACTATGAGTGACTTTGCTAGTATTTGAAATATTAGTGGCTTAGCTTCCAGCAACACAGTTACATGCAAGCCACCAAAATAATGAATGGCAAAGAAAATGGCAACTGAAAGCCTTATGAATAGCAGACATTATATGATACATATCCGATACTGCTGATGACATATCATATTGGAAGACACTCAAAATACCCCCAAGAAAGAGCTGCCTCCTCAAAGTAGAAAGTCACTGCCATGGAGTCAGTCCCAACTCATAGTGACCCTGGGTGGAGCTTCTGCAGCTGTGAATCTGCACGGAAGCAGATTGTCTCATCTTTTCCCCATGAGCCGTGGGTGGGTTTCAACCGCTAATCTTTCAGTTAGCAGTCTAATGCTTACTGCACCAGAGTAGTCAATCCTAATTACTTGGATAGAGGAAAGCTTTCGGGACCTTTATTTGTGGATGTGGCAAAAATAAAAATGAGATGAAGCAACGGCAAACATCCACTAATAAATGGAACATGAGGTGTACCATAGATGAATCTAGGAAAATCTTAAGTCTTCAAAAGTGAAATGGAGCCCTGCCCGGCGCCGCCTGCCCAGTGCTTCTCCCCAGCTTGAGTCCAGCCCCCTCTGCCCTTGCCCCTCTGCGCCGAAACGCCGCCAACATGACAGAGAAACTGCCCTACAAAGTCGCTGACATCAGCCTGGCCTCCTGGGGACGTAAGGCCCTGGACATTGCAGAGAACGAGATGCCTGGACTGATGCGCATGCGTGAGATGTACTCTGCCTCCAAGCCGCTGAGGGGCGCCCACATTGCGGGGTGCCTGCACATGACCGTGGAGACAGCTGTCCTTATTGAGACCCTTGTCGCCCTGGGAGCTGAGGTGCAGTGGTCCAGCTGCAACATCTTTTCCACCCAGGACCATGCAGCAGCTGCCATTGCCAAGGCTGGCATTCCAGTGTGCGCCTGGAAGGGCGAAACCGACAAGGAGTACCTGTGGTGCCTCGAGCAAACGCTGTACTTCAAGGACGGGCCCCTCAACATGATCCTGGATGATGGCGGCGACCTCACCAACCTCATTCACACCAAGTACCCACAGCTCTTGTCGGGCATTCGGGGGATCTCTGAGGAGACCACGACCGGGGTCCACAACCTGTACAAGATGAAGGCCAATGGGATCCTGAAGGCACCTGCCATCAACGTCAACGACTCTGTCACTAAGAGCAAGTTTGACAACCTCTACCGCTGCCAGGAGTCCCTCATCGATGGCATCAAGCGGGCTACAGATGTGATGATTGCCAGCAAAGTGGCCGTGGTCGCAGGCTATGATGACGTGGGCAAGGGCTGTGCCCAGGCCCTCAGAGGTTTCGGGGCGCGTGTCGGCATCACTGAGATTGACCCCATCAACGCGCTGCAGGCTGCCATGGAGGTCACCACCACGGACGAGGCCTGTCAGGAGGGCAACATCTTTGTCACCACCACGGGCTGTGTGGACATCATCCTTGGCCGGCATTTTGAGCAGATGAAGGATGATGCCGTTGTGTGTAACATCGGACACTTGGACGTGGAGATTGATGTCAAGCGGCTGAACGAGAACTCGGTGGAGAAGGTGAACATAAAACCTCAGGTGCGCTGCTACCGGCTGAAGAACAGGCGCTGCATCATCCTCCTGGCTGAGGGCCGGCTGGTCAACTTGGGCTGCGCCCTGGGCCACCCCAGCTTCGTGATGAGCAACTCCTTCACCAACCAGGTGCTGGCGCAGATAGAAGTGTGGATCCACCGGGACAAGGACCCCGTTGGAGTCCACTTCCTGCCCAAGAAGCTGGATGAGGCAGTGGCTAAGGCCCACCTCGGGAAGCTGACCGTGAAGCTCACCAAGTTGAAGGGGAAGCAGACCCAGCACCTGGGCATGCCGGTGGACGACCCTTCAAACGGGCCCCGGTTCTCCCCAAGAACACATGGCATTAATTTGACTGGCTTGACATTGGCTCCCGCTTTGTCCCCTCAGACGGTTCCTGGTGTGGCAAGGGGTATTGAGAAACCCCTCTGAGGGCGCTGGTCCTGATGGAGGGAGGTGTGTGGGAGACACCTCCAGGGAACCATGACCTGCTCTGCTTAGTCTTTAGGCTGGAGTTGGCAACCGTGGTCAACCCCATGCACATTACATGTAGTCCTCACCTGGTCTTAGGGACCCAGGTCATGTGCTTGGTGTGCAGCTAACTGGTTCCTGGGCCCATGACAGGTGACAGGGAGAGCTCAAAGGACAGCAGGGCACTGTGCGAGTTTGAATGCTTCTAGGACCCTAGCTGAGTGGTGGACATTCTCATCAGCCTCAGAACAGTGAGGTCAGTACTACTTGTCCCTATTTTACAGGGGCTAATAGAATTGTCAGGGACAGCCAAGAGAAGTGACATCTATAGTTTGGGAGGGGCCAGAAAAAAAACATGAGAAGAGGTATCAGTCTGCCCCTACGTTGGTAATATGCTGGCTCCTGTCACAACTCTGGGTCAAAAAAGGTTAATTTTGTTTACAATGTGTTAAAAGAGGGCAGGAAGGTGGGCTAATAATAAAAAATCTGGTGCCTAAAAAAAAAAGTGAAATGGAATACACAAAGACCAATATCCTAGGCATTCATGAGCTGAAATGAATGGATGTGGCCATTTTTAATGGAACAAACATGACCTACCATGCTGTGAAAGAAAAATGGAGGAGGAAGGCCATCACCTTCATCAATTAAAAAAAATTTTTAATAAACCTTTTTCTGAAGAATTCAGATGGTGCCTGGCTACCAGAAAGAATACCATGTAGGGTCTTAAAGGCTTGTCTTAAAACAAGCAGCTTACATGAGGTTTCAGCTAAGATGGAAGGAGTACACTAGCCCATGTGGATCCAAGGATTATAAATAATACTATCCAAGAACAGAGAGAGAATTGTATTGGACTCTAATGATTAGAGCCTAAATTCTGAGCTTCTGCATTACAAAGCCAGTGGATGACAGGGAAAACCCAAAATCCATTTGCAGAGTCCATTGAATTCTCTCAGACAGTTGACAGGGATGTGAATCAGGCAGAGTACATTGGAAAATGGATTACTGCAGATGTAGTCAGGTTAATATTTTACCTAATGAATGGTAAAAATTTAACATATTATCATTTAATTTCTCTTTTGATCTAGTTTTAATTTGCTCCAGTACCTATTATCTTCTGCTTTCTCTTCGATGGAGGTTTTTCTGTGATTTTGTTGTTGCTGTTGTTTGCGTGTTTGTCTGTCTGCTTGTTTGGGGGAGTTGTATAATTTTCTGTCTATGAAATCCGAGATGAGTAGATCTACAGAACCAGTAACTAGATTACTAGTTCCTTGATGTTGTGGCAGAGGATGTTGGCGGTTGTGGGGAGCCAATAATAATGGGTCCAGGAATGAAGAAAATGTTCTAAAATTGATTGTGGTGATGACTGCACAATTAGTTTTAATATGTTAAAATCATTAAATTATATGGTATGTGAATTATATGTCAATAAAACTGTTTAAAAGAAGGCTTCTCAATCTATCCTATAGTACAAGGCTGTCAGTGATAGGATAATATCTATATACCTACAGGAAGATCAGTTAATATGCTTGTGTTAGTCTGGATAGACTAGAGAAACAAATATGTACATAAGAGAGAATTTTATATAAAAGGTAAGTGTACATTAAGAAAGCATCCCAACCCAATCCAGTCCAAGCACATAAGTCCAACATTAGCCCATCTGACACTGATCTACAAAGTCCTCCTCAAACTCGCAAAACACACACAATAATGCTGAATGCAGGAGGAAAGCCAAATCAGTGAGTGTGTAAGAATCTAGCAGAGGTCTCCACATGGCTTCTCCAGCACCCAGGGCAGCATCAGGGTAAGTCCATGTGGCTTCTGCTCAGGGATGTCTCGCAAGAAGTGAGCCTTGCCAGCTGAGGCAGAGAACTAGCTAAGGCAGCCACACACTCGTCCAACCATCAGAGAACAAGAGACCACAGAGGGGAGACTCACCGAACCATTTATCTCTCTGCCCTCCAATCAATCCCACATGTGTTTATCGGCCAGTTTGGCACAATAAACCTTAATTGTCACAATGCTTATTATTCAAACTTACTTACCATCTACTAATGCCAGAGATGTAGAAATTGAAGGTGTTTGGGTTTGGGTTTTTTTTGGCCAACTTCAACAGTCTGAAATTGATCAAACAGGTCATCAAGATTTGAACGCAAAATCTGAAAACAAGAACAAATAACTGGGAAATATGACTCTAATGATAGAAAAGAAGCCAGAGACTATATGATGGAGTTTTGCAAATCAACTCAATGGCAATGAGTATTGACTTCTATTGCAAATATCCTTCACTCAACAACAAAATTAGCAACTATACCTATGGACCTCAGATGATGGGATACACAGATATAAAATTAACTACATCTATGGGAAGAGATGAAGGAGGAGCTCAAGATGTCAATTTAGAGTAGGCCTGGGAGCTGACTGTAGAATAGACAGTTAATGCTCAAATGCAAGTTCAAGTGAAAGTGGAAGAAAATTAGAACAAGTCCACAAGAACCAAAATACCACACCAAGTATATCCCATCTGAATGACCTTTCTGACTAGCTCAAGGATAGATCTGATACATTGAACACTAAGGACCATAGACTAGATAAGTTATGGGATGATATGAAGGACATAATACCAGAAGAAAGCAAAAGTCTTTTAAAAGATATGCTAAAAAGAAAAGACCAAAACAAATGTCAGAAGAAACTCTGAAATTTGCTCTTGAATGCAAAACAGTTAAAGTGCATGGAAACAATGCTGGAGTAAAAGAACTGAACAGAAGATTTCAAAGGGCAGCTCAAAAAGACAACACATTGCAATAAAACATACAAAGACCTGGAGTTAGAAAGCCCAAAGGGAAGAACACACTGGATATTTCTCAAGCTGAAAGAACTGAAGAAAAAAATTCAAGCTTCAAGTTATCACACTGAAGGATTCTGTAGGCTGAATAGTGAATAGTATAGGAAGCACTGAAAAAGATGGTACACAAAATCTCTATACCAAAAGGAGTACGAAGTGTATCCCCTACCCCACCCCCCAAAAAACCGTAATTACACTTGGCAGAGGAGAGCTTTTGTAGTATGCATTTTTCCTGCATTTTTCATGCATTTTTCAAGCATGGAGCAACTCATTCTGAGTTAGTGCACCCAGTGGCAGCACCCAGGAAGGTTCTCTCCAGTCACGGTGAATTTTTTCTCAAATTTCACTCAAACCTCGTTTTTTGTGATGGCCAATTTAAGAGAACAGTGTGCAACTATGAAATTTTGTCTTTTGCTCAGGAAAAATGCAGGCATTGTGATGTTAAACACAGCTTACAAGGACAACACTGTGGGAAAAACTCAAGTGTATGAGTGGCTTTCTCGTTTCAAAAGTGGTAAAATATCAATTGATGACAAATTTCGTTCTGTATGTCTGTGGTGGTTATATAATCTGTTGTCAATTTGAGATTTAAGGGGTGGAGTTTAGCCTTTCAATCAGGTCACAGTTTGATGACCTCATTTGGAGGTGCTAAGGAGATAAATAGCTTCATGGAGGTGGGACACACATTCACTCTCTGCAAGACTTTCCTAAGGACAAGTCACATGAAGCTACAGTAGAGCCCTGGAGCTGAAGGAGTCAGGTGGAGACCCCTGCCAGCACTGAGATGCTTCTACCGCCACTGGATCCACAAGACTTTCCACCCACTGGCCTGTGACATTCCTGAATTCAGTGTCATTGCATGTATTGCAAAAGTCTAAAGAGTAATTTATAGATTGGTATCAGAAATATGGGCTAATATCAGACTCATGGAGTTGATCTGGACTGGGCTGGGATGTTTTCTCAATATTCAATTGCTCTTCTATGTAAAGCTCTTTCTTATACACATATGAATTTGTTTCTCTAGTCTACCCAGACTAACACAACACCCATCAACTTTCCAAATGGATAAAAATGTCAACTCGTAGTGCATTTGGAGTTCATTCCACCAGATCAGGCTGTTAATCAAGCTTTCGATTTAGAGGTTCTGAAAAGATTGGGTAACAGTGCATGAAAAAAAAAAGGCCTGATTTGTGGCAGACGGGCCACTGTTTTGCTACCACGACAATGTACCTGCTCACACAGCCATCTCAGTTCACCGGTTTGGGGCAAAAAACAACATGCTTCTCTTTCCCCACACACGTGAGTCAACTGACCTTGCTGTGTGCAACCTCTTTTTGTTTCTGCGAATGAAGAGGGACATGAAAGGACAGTGATTTGACAATGTAGAAGAGGTGAAGATTAAATAAATGAGGGAAATGCTTTCAGCCATCCGAACAGCTGAGTTTGAAAAATTTTTCCAAGAATGGAACCGCATATTTAACAAACGTATTAAATGTAATAGAGAATACCTTAAAGGTGAGAAGGTTGTTTTGTTTTAAAAAATAATTAAATACATAGCTTTGAAGAAACAAATTCCAGGATTTGGGGGTACCCCCTTGTATTTCAACAAGCCAATTAAGCACTGCAAGCACTCACTTGTCTATGCCAAGAAATTTGGAAGAGAGTTTACATGGCCAACCAACCGGAAGAAATCTATATTGTGTCCGTTCCAAAGTAAGATGATTCACCAGAATGTAGAAAGTGTTCTGCTTAGGTTCTCAAGCATATTTGGCCTACCACCCCCTTTTCAGAAAAAAAAAATTAATCGGCATTCCTCAACAATTAAAAACTTTTGTACTGAAGGGACCATCTGCCCTGGATTCCCTGTGTTTCCAGTTCCTATCTGTACCAGTGTACATCCTCTG